CACAGGGGGGGCATTGTCACCTCTCAGTGTCACTGTCACCCCTGTCACTGTCACCCACCCTGTGTCACCGTTACCCCTCAGCGTCACTGTCACCCCCCTGGATGATCAGGGCCATCACCTTGTCCTGCTCCTGGGGAGCAGAAGGGGATCATGGGGTGGTCCCTGTGACCCCCCCAGTGTCCCCCTGTCCCTGTCACCTCGTCTGTCACACTCGGTGATCCCCCTGTGTCCCTGTGACCCCCCAGTGTCCCCCTGTCCGTCACCTCATCTGTCACACTGGGTGACCCCCCCAGTGTCCCTGTGACCCCCCCAGTGTCCCCAGTGACCCCCCAGTGTCCCCCTGTCCCTGTCACCTCGTCTGTCATGTGCTGGCTGACGCTGAGCAGCATCAGGACGTTGTCACACTCAGTGACCCCCCAGTGTCCCTGTGACCCCCCCAGTGTCCCTGTGACCTCCCCAGTGTTCCCCTGTCCCTGTCACCTCGTCTGTCACACTCAGTGACCCCCCAGTGTCCCTGTGACCCCCCAGTGTCCCTGTGCCACCCCCAGTGTCCCCCTGTCCCTTTCACCTTATCTGTCACACTGGATGTCCCCCCCCGTCCCTGTGACCCCCACTGTGTCCCTGTGCCCCCCTCAGTGTCCCCCTGTCCCTGTCCCCTCGTCTGTCACACTGGGTGACCCCCCAGTGTCCCTGTGACCCCCCCAATGTTCCCTGTGACCCCCCCAGTGTCCCCCTGTCCCTGTCACCTCGTCTGTCATGCGCTGGCTGACGCTGAGCAGCATGAGGACGTTGTCACACTCGGTGACCCCCATGGCGTACAGGTCACTCAGCACGTTGGCACAGGCGATGCGGCCCTGCAACGGGGCAGGGGGCTCTCAGGGGGGGCCTGAGGGGATTTGGGGGTCTCAGGGGGGGTTTGGGGAGCCCAGAAGAGGATTTGGGGGGTCCCAGGAGGGATTTGGGGAGCACAGGAGGCGATTTGGGGGGTCCCAGGTGAGATTTGGGGAGCCCTGGAGAGAATTTGGGGAATCGCGGATGGGGTTTGGGGAGCCCAGAAGAGGACGTGAGGGGTCCCAGGTGGGGTTTGGGGAGCCCAGGAGGGGATTTGAGGAGTCCCAGGTGGGGTTTGGGGTCACAGGAGAGGATCTGGGGAGCCCAGGAGGGGATTTGGGGGGTCCCAGGTGGGGTTTGGGGAGCCCAGGAGGGGATTTGCGGGGGGGTTTTGGTGATCCCAGGTGGGGTT